GTTTGAGAAAAATATATATAATATCAATTCATTCATGTAAATTATATATAATATTATGTTTATCATTGTTTTACATAGGTAATTGAAATATTGTGATCAATATTGAATTTTATTTTCTTGTTTATACTTATCTAATGACTTTATGGATAGAATTAAGTTGTTGGAGAAAGGTTGTCTTCCAACTGTTGTGTTATAGTATTATGCATGTTTGAGAAATGTATTTTTGTACCTTAGAACCACCTGCTATTAGGTAGCCAGCATACAAATACTGGTCGCGTCGGCGATGCTGCTTGTATGGTGGTCACGTTCCATCAGGACTGTAATACTAAGTCTACAAGACCTACATTGTAGGCTTATTATTACAGTCCTGAGAACACCCTTTGGGTCCGGACTTAGAAAATGAAAAATTATGAGAAATAGTGGTACATACTTTCATATCTTTTTCTCATATAGGTAATTAGTGAGTAGTACATGTTGTGAAAGGGAAATTTCATGTGACTTCTATATTTATACCTAAAACACCAGTTTAGTAAAGTACTCTTTAAAGTTATGTATGTTTTTTAATTTTAATTTGTATTTTGAATAAATAAATATAAATTTGTAATTCATATGTTCTTTTATTCAGCGCTGTTATAGGCAACCCAAAAAAATACCTCAAATAAACCTCCCCCCCCCCCCCCCAAAAGAGCAACATTCAAATTTTCCCGCCACAAAAAATTGCAGGGGCTGACTATAGATGGAGCTAGTGGGTGTATATTAGATTTATTTTATTTTGTATGAAGTTGGCGTTCTTCTCCGCTAGGAGTAATAGTGTTCTGTGGTCCATGGCATCTCCACCATAGAGAACCTGAACAATGTCTCTTGTAGAATTTCTAACTGTCGAATCGTAGTGCAGGCAAAGATCTTCCAAACTCTGCACCAACTTTCTCTGCATGTATCCAGTTTCAGCTGTTTTCACATCAGTATCCACAGAAATAACAAAAAATAATACATACTGCTTTTCATTTCCTTAAAATCAAATATTCTGAAATGGATTGAAACGTGTTGTGTTGTGGTTAAAAAGCAGAACGACTTATGGCCCGTTTTCATTGATGGTATGCACTATGCCCGTCGTCTGCTGCGTATAGCGCATATTGGCGGCGACCGTCAGTTTTATTAATTATTAATTTTTGTAACTAAATAAGTATATGCAATAACAATACGTTATTGTGCAATTACAATCGAGATATGTGCAATTTATTGGCACTCTGTGCAATTAGAAAAAAAACTTTATTTACGGAGATATCGATATTGCAGTACTAGTACAAACCATAATTTACTTTTTGATGTTTTTATAAAAAATTGGAGTGTGCAATTACAAATACAAGTATAATCGTAATGTGCTATTAAAAATACGTCGACTAGTATTTTTTTAATTACAAATATCATTATTTTGCAAGCTGGGGTGGGGGGTCGCTTTGGTTATTCCATATATTGAATCTTGTGCATAGGACGATGATAGACGCTCAACTCGCTTCAATGGTTTTTTAGTAACGCCACTTAATGCAGTTTTCCAAAATAAATGCAGCCAATCCGGGACGTTGCACTCTCCTTTGCTTAAGGCTTCACCATCAATTATATCAGGCAATGTGTTTTTTTGTATCTTCATGATGTGCTTACGGTATTTTAAAGCAAAATCCTGCACTTCTTGTTGAAAAATTTAATTTTGTACGTCCTCGTCGTTTACAGTTTCTATGTCGATTTCGGAAGACATAACAAACGGTTTTTTAGAGAAATATACAATGTTAATTTTGTTTTTAATTCTTTCCAAATAAAATCTTTTAAAGCACCAGTGCTAAAAACACTGGCATGTAGATGAGCATCTTCTAGTTTTTCTTTCATAAATTCAAATTATATTACATATTAAAAAAAATACAAATCCTTAGTAATGGACAATGCCAATACTTTTTATTATTAATTACTTCGCTTTGAACATAAGCTAGTAATGAATCTTTTGCATACTTATAGCATTCTCTCTTCAAAGCCCAATCATTTGTTTCTGGCTTATTTATTTTTCTTTGGTATTTAGAAAAATATTCTAAACTGCACAGATTATGATAAGAAAGTAAATGATCTAATTTCGATTCGTTATCGATTTCCTGAAGCAAAGCAACATCTCCAATTTCTGTAGCCTCTTTTTTTAATTTTGCAAGAAAAATATTTTTATTTTTAATTTGACGATAATAAAAAATTTTACAGAAAAACAGTTTTTGGCATTACTTTCGTCTGAAAAGCTTTCCACAGTGCCCTCAAACTGCAGATCGTCCTCAACAATACAATCAGAACTTTGTATGCTATCAACATCCATGGCAAAATCAAAACTGGAAATAATATTTATTCAACATTATTAAATAATAATAATATATATAAAAATTATTTAAGGTGGTTCCTTGAGAAATCTAAGGTTAAGAGGGCCCTTCCCGACCCGTCTATCGTCAACGCGAGCATGGTTAAAAAGCTTGTTGTTTCATCCAGCTCAATGTTAGAAAAAGAGGCAAAGCGAAAAGAGAAAGACAGCGCCTGAGCGTTCGGTTGGCATTCGGTAACTTACGGGCTCGCTACTATGGCGCATAGCTATAGTTTTGTAAATTTCTCTGCATGCCTACATTTAGTAGGTACCATATTATTTTATTATATTACTCTTTGTCTAGTATAGACGTGCCACTTGGCCTCGGAGATATGTGTGTGTTGTTTTTTACCAAACTAGGTATCGTACGTGCGCTATTTTTGACATGGAAATTATTTATGTTATAATTATAAATATAATATATTAAAGAAATTATTTATGTTATAAATAATTTTATAATGTTATAAATAATTTTCCATGTAAAAAATTATATGTCGCAAATAAAAATAACTGTCACTCAGAGTCGGCCAACTCGTGTGTGTAAGTACACTCGGCGACACATCAAGCTATACATTTCCAGTATAACATGGCCTCGCTTTGTTTCAATTTCCCGTACAATAAGAGTACCGCATAAACTGGTTTATATACCTTGATTTGTCGTCGTGCGTACAAGCCCGGCACGCAAACATTCACAACATATTAGTCGGCCGTTACACGCGCAAGCATCAATACTCAGACATAAACTGGACTCAGTTTTGTTTTAGCAGGGTGTTCCATCCAACTTATATTGTTCGTCCATGTTATACCTAAACAGAGCACGAAAATGTAAAGGTAAATAATTTATTCTGCTTATGGAGTAGCGGTATAAACAGAATAAACTCTTTACATGTCTAGGCCGTTTGTATTTAGGAAGCTGAAATTAGGTAACGTACCTACTTGTACCGTATGTAAATGTCTCCAAATGTTGTTTAGGTACTAATTTGTACCGTAGTACAGGTGGTTGATCACAAATAAAGTAGTCTAAATAGAGTTGGGTATAAATATATATTTTTATTCTAAAGAACTTTGTTACACTTTATGAACAATACATAAAACAACCCGGTTGTCGAGACGATTCCGATTTCCGAACACAAAGAGTTTACTGTCAGAAGTGATTGAAAATTTAGTAAAAAAACATATTATTATCTAATAACAATAGTAATATTCTCATTCTCAATAGTAATAAAATCGATCTGCTTCAAAATCCTTATCCAAACAAAGTCTGTGTCCGTATTCACAAATGCCAGGTTCGTTTCACATAATAAAATAGCTAAACCTTCGCTAGCAAAATCAGTGTCCGGTATAAAAAAAAGATCGTTGTAGTAGGTAAAACAGATGTCACTAAATATAAAATGCAACGGCACATTGACGAAGCGCAGTCAACAAATTGAATACCTACTAACAATTCCGAGAGGCCAGAGAGCCGAACGCGTGCGCCACCGGCGCTCGTCATTCAACTCCCCCGTCTCACCCCGCCCCTACCCCGCACGACTTGTCCCCCGCATACCTCTTACCGCCACTTGGCTAATAAGCAAGTGAGAACGCGATATTATTGAACGAAAAATAGTGTGCGGGAATTTCATAAAACTTGTTCCAGGAAATACGTGTTTTTCAGTAACCCACAAGTTTGTGAAATAAATTTTTGTCATTTAGTCAGTCTCCATTACATTGGCGAGGTTTCTATAAAATAATTTCTTTACTTTTACTATTAGTGAGTACATTATGAACGACCAAAATTCAGGTAAAATTTATGCAATAAAGCAGATTTTTGGAGGCTTATACTGAATTTGTTTCTACAAATTTAGATTTTTTGTTTAGATAGGAACCTAGATATAGTGCACAAAATACCTATTAATTATATTATATATTAAAATTTTCAAAGAAAGATCTATTACAACGCCATAATCACATACAAGCTTTTGTATGAAAAGTTAGACGGGTTGACCGCTCTTAAAATAATTAAGCAAAACTTGGTACAAGTATAATTTACGATGTCAAGAATATTATACCGAAAAAATTTAGAGATACTTAACCGTCGAAAAAACTCAGAAAATAAATTTTAAAATTGTACTTTTTAACACGGTCTTATGGCGTGAGTATCTCCATTTCTCGAAGTAACAAATTAACTCTTCATATAGGGATTTTTAGAATACAAAAAACGAGATTTAAGTAAATAAGACTCTAAGCTTTCTAATAAGCTATTGAAGGGTATCGTGGAAAATTTTAAAATATTGACGTTATGAGCGAAAGAAATTTACATCTTGTGTTGTGATTTTGTTGACCGCCGAAACGTGGCAATGTCGCTCTGCCTCAACGTACTGTATCTCACTTTCCTAGCAGAATCCAAAGACGCGAGTACGTGTACGACGTTGTCATATTTCCAGTAAGCGAATATAACAACACAACAGTCAGAGTCAATATGAGTATTGAAACGACCGTATGAATAGTTTTTGTTTATACAATTACCAAATCTGTTTAATATGATTTCTAAAATTCAATACCTTATTTCAGAGATATATTTGTAAAAATTAATATCATGCCTCTCGTATGATTAGAGAGTGCTAAGAGAATCACCTTAAGAATTTTTTCTGTACCTTGAATCAGATGTAGCAACTTGGGGATTTGAACAAGATGCTGTATTCAAATCCTCTGTTTGAACTTCCATTGGCGCAGTAGTGGTGGATGTACTTGGAGTGGAGAGGTCGCCTTGTGTGGACGCTTGCGTCGAGGTTGGCTCATTTCTGCGAATATAAAATTATTAATACAAACTACAAAAAAAATTCGATAAAATGTACTCAATGAACATAAAAATGTTAAGTATTAATTTAATATTTTATATAATTAGATGACTTTAAAACTATATAATAAAAATAAGTGAAAATGATAAAATGAAATTCAATATTATTTGTAAAGTAAACAGCTTTATACCGTTACATACTCAGTCGAAAACAAGCAAAAATACTTATTTACCTTCCTATAAGCAGTTCAAACTAGATTCTGTTTTGAAAATTACGGTAGGCAACGTAAGACAAAAGACAATATCTTAGTACCGAACTTTTTTAAATATACAAAAAATTTGAATAACTGTTTGTTTTATAACGATATATTACTGACAGTTAATTATTTAATTTGCACATAAATAAAATTAATACATAAATACTAAAAAATTATGATCTTTCCATAATACAATTGAATTGTACATTAATTTATACATGCTTTTAAACAACTTCCTACCATTAAATATATAAATTTTAAAAAGTCAGTAAAATAAAAATATTCAAAAATTATTAATACTAAACAATATTAAATAAACTTACGATAAATATTGTAAATATTTTGTAGCAACTCTGAAATCTTTGTAGCACTTGAAGTGATATCCTATAACCTCATCGTCCCAGGACTCTGGCAAAATCACATCACTAAATTTATGCTTAAAATGAATTCTAGCGTTCAAAATACTTTTGCACGAAGCATAAATTTCTTTCGTAAATTTTTTTATAAGTTCTCTTTTCGGACGAAAACGTTCGTCCTTACGTAAAGAATTGCACAAGAAACACTCCATGATGACGATCACTTAACAGCTTCGAAAAGAGAGCTCGACTAAACACTAAACCAGGATTGCCAACTTAATTTTTCAGGAGGAAATACAAAAATAATATTATTATAACGTCAAAGCAAAATTTAACATTTGAGTATAATATATATGAATTTGACACTATACTTATGGAGTGTAGAGTAGAAGGAGAACCATCTTATAAGGAGCGAAGGTTGAAAAAGTGTCCTACTATTTACTGTAAATAGAGGTTCCAAAACCTACCACAATAGCGCTGGCGTCTGAAAAACTACGATATGAAGATAGCTGTTATGAACGGAGTGAAGTCAGCTGAATTCAAATATTTCATGACTAGAATAGTTAGTAAAACGCCAATATACAAAATCTCAACTATTTACGTAGTACAAAACCAAGCGGATTGATCGGTCCTTATTTATTTCTCCATCTTATTCTAAATACTTTTGGCGCTTCTTTTTTAATTTATCCTATGCTACTGCAGCGCCACCCTTATTGGACACGTTTTTAGGGACACTTTTCATATACAGAGATGGTCCTCCTTCTACTCTACACTCCATAACTATACTTTAAGACGATATTTTTTTTATTAATGAAAAGGAGCTCGGACTGTGTCCACTCTGCCCTCTACTACAAAAATAGGGTTACTTTTACTTTTTAATAAAACATAAACTCACACTCAACATGGAAAAGTATACTTATATCTATCTATTAAACCCTGAGATAATTTTAAATTACAAAATAATTAACAAAGTTAAAGAATAAATCATATAAATCAACACAAAGATAGCTTTTTGATTATATATGATCTACCAGGTATGTGAGTATACAATTGACCATAGTAATAGCGCAATATATAAATTAAAATTAACATATTTTGATAAAAAATATATTTGGTCTTCATATAAAGGATATGGCTAAGAAGAATTTTGATTCCATTGATTTTTCATATCGATAAAATGAACTGAATCAATAATAATTTTTATTTTGTTATAAAAATTATAAGATTTGTAAAAATCGTACATTTTGCGTACGATTTCGAATACGTGATCGTACATCGTACTAGGGTCAAAAACATCGTATGAATACGATTTAAATCGTACGGTTGGCAACGCTGCACTAAACCCATATGGAACGCTAACGAACGGGAGTGGATAGTGGGTTTTTTTTATTACGATTAATTACGATTTTATACCTGAGGCAAAATCACACAGTTCAGCATATTAGTTTTTGGCGCGATATTGAACTAAATTCAAATGTAATAAATGTTTTTTATAAGCCACTGCAAAAAAATTATACTGAAAAAAATTATTGCTATAAACATGTATTATATGTATTTTAGGTTTAATTATAGATTCAAATTAAAAAGCAATTAAAAAACTATAATTTATATTAGTTTTTAAGTACCTACACGAGTTATAAATATGCATTTTTCGAACTTAGAACTAATTTTTTTTTCAATAGCTCAATCACTCGTTACAAGAAATTTCAACAAATTTTCATGTTATTAATTCCCTTGTTTTTATTGCTGTAATTGTTTATATAATTAAGTAATTTAAAAAATAATATTCAATTTCATTAAATAAGCTTTAATATTGCATACGAATTTTCCATTTAAGCAATTTAAAACAAAAGCTGGCAAAAATTATGTACAACACTTCAACATATTATGTTTTCAAGATTTAATTTGTTTTAAAATTTCGAAAAGTTCATTTGTAATTAATCGCTTCCATTTTTTTTGTATGCCAATAGTTTCATAGTGTTATACGTTTGATACTTAACAGAAAAAATTAAAAAAGAAGTTGTTATTAATCAAAAAAAGATTAACATAATCTTGACAAATTTCGAGTGTAGGTCTCAAAAAAATTACCAACAAATTTGTATGCCAATGCATTTTTTATAAAAAATATATATTTTGCAAGCCCCAAAACAAAAATCAGCTAGTTATTAATAAATTTTTTCAAGTCACCATTCTGACATGTTAGAGCTGGGGGTCACTCGGAAGGTACCATTCATTTTGTATGCCACAAGTTTTTCTCAGTTTTCCATCGTATTTTCTCGAAGTATTGATTTTTAGAAACTGTTATTATTTAATTTGGGACACTCATCAAATCGACGTGTTTCGCTCCCTATCGCGCTTTTTCCTTCCACTATCAGGATTTGGTCCAATGATAAAAGTTGGGTGTCTCGTCAAAACGAAGCTGTGTATAAACTTTCAGCCTGTTATTAATCACTGAAATACCTTGTATGTGGGCCCGTGGACTATGAGTACCGTCCCTTTTTTGAAGTTGGTAGAAAATGATTTCATAAGGATTCACTTTTTTAAACACGGTATAGAGCATAGATAATTAGTGTTAAAATTATTTCGAGTGGTAATACCATATTTGAACTTTATGTTATTCTTCGGGATATATCGCTGTAACCGCAACCGGATGAGGGAAGGTAAATCTGTACAAATATTATTCGATTTTACGTAATAACAAAACCCATTAGCAATTTCTTGACCTTACATTATCCTAAACTAATTCGTAGTACTTCCTCTTTATGTTTTCCTAGTACTTCACTATTATGGTGGATTTGCAATTTTAAGTACTGATTTACCACGTGCTCGGCGATGATGGAAAATATCGTGAGGAAATCTGCGTGTCTGAGGTATAAATAAGAGGATATGTGAAGTCCGCCAGCACGTACCACGAAATAATAATAATAATAATAATTTATTAGACTCTCAGTTTGACAAATTACACTTATGTATTATATCTATTTTAAATTACAAAAGAAAACATTTCAAAGTTAGCGTTGACGGCCATACTAGTATAAACTGTGTTACAGCCGTCAGCGTCTTCCACCCTAAGTAGCACAAAAATCATTTCATTTGGCTATACAATACCCAAACATGTTAAAATAAATATAGAAAATAAAGAGATTTTTTTCTAATTACCACAAACCAGTGTCTGCAGTCAGTCTGCAGTCAGTCTGCAGTCTGTGAACACGTACAGGATCGCCCCCGTCACTACATTAGATTTGATAGACCACAAATCCTCGCTAAAGAACACCGATTCCTCCCCAGGATGATTCGCGAGGCTATTGAAATTAAAAAACATCCTAATTTCAATAGAGAAGATGGCTGGGTGCTACCATCTGCTTGGGATCCCATAATTAATAAAATTAAATCCCAACCCAATCATACAACTGCAAGACTTCATGATACTGTAAGTTCATACTGCGTAGATCAGAACAAAAATTAATAATTTTTAATCTGAAGGTAGCCGTGATTAATTATGACAGTGGGACGTCATACACCTCAGTCCCCCGTGTGTGTGTGTGTGCGTGTGTGTGTATGTGTGTGTGTGTGTGTGTGCGCGCGTGCGTGCGTGCGTGTGTGCGTTAGTATTTAACAATCCTCAACACTACAGATAATTTCCTCGTACGGTAATTTTTTCGGTGTTAAAGCAAAATTAAGGCCTTTCGATAATACTCGAATTGTTGCATCATCCAGAGTTTGTTATGACAGATTATAGACCGCGCTTAATCTATGATCCGCGTTCGTAGTCAACGGTTGCGTTTAGTTCTCACGTTGACCCAGATGTTTGACATTTAATTTGGTCGTTAATTTTTGATATTTTACCATATGTTTGTTTTTGCATTCGTTATATTTATTAATTTCTCGTTTATTTAACGTTTCAATGCAAACATTATAATCAAATGTCGTTAAAACTGTCTTTAACTCACTGAATGATGTATCTATGGATTTGTTTATGGTATGTAGAACGGAGCGTTTTTGTTGGATTACCGTTCGTAACAACTTTTTACTTGCCTGATTTAAGATCTTAGCGCTTCCTCGAATGTCCTTTTTAGTGGATATTTTGACACACGTAGGAGTGAGATCGTGATCGCGGCACCTCTTCAAGAATATCAATGATCCGCTCCTATGAATTCCCCCTCTGGACCTCAAAAGAGTATAGACGTGTAAATTGATTGCTTTTTTGTCTCAATCGTAAAAATAAATTCATTTTCGGTGCGAAAATTAAATTTAAAATAATAAGATAGCATAAACACAAAGAGGTGTTCTTCATTACTCGTCACAACGTGCGTACAAACGGCGGCGCATACGCACACAGACAATGAGTCTATGCATTATCCTATTGTATTAATACACGCGCAGCTTGTGATCTCAAGATATATTGGACGGAACGTGCGGCTAGCCGATCGTGCCGATACCGTCCAAACTAAGCTGATCCCTACGCCCTACCTGAGACGCTGTCGAACACTGAGTATTTCATACCACACTTGTGGAACAAGGATAACTATATTGCATCATAAAAGCGTAACCTCTGCAATAACTTCCTTCTAATTTATACTTGCCTGGTACCTTCCGCAATGCCGCTTAACCGCTCGCCTTTGGGACCGCCCGTCATCATCGGCGCTCCGAACAAACTTACAACATTGCGACTCCGAACCAAATAATCATACTACCCCTCAAAACGAGTATTATATAAACACCAGTCTAAGGAAAAGAAAACATAGTAATGATATCTCGGACGAATTAAGTACTCGTATGATTCATGACAACTGAACTTGACTTCCTATCACTGTTTACGTCTTTCAGAAATGAACAAGATAGCAAATATTCCATAATTCTTAAATGTATGGGGGAGATTAAACAACAGAATGAGGAAATACGCCAATCTATTAATTTTATGTCTGATAAATACGATTCGCTTTTGGAAAAAGTACACAATCCAGAAGAGCAAAACAGTGCTTACTGCAAGCGTATCCAAGAATTAGAAGAAAAATACGAGCGTGAATCCCATGCTACGAAAATTGAATTACGTAACGTCCCAAAGAAAACTCATGAAACCAAGGATGATTTATTAAATATACTGGTAAAGACAGGCGGAGTCCTGGGTTCAACGCTTCAACAGTCGGGTGTGAAAAATATATATAGAATTAATACTAAAAACGAGGGAAATGAGCCAATTATAGCAGATTTT